TGGAAGCACTGTCTGACGCGTCTGCCTCCGCGACCCGAAAGGAGAAGCGGCGATGGAAGATGATGATGGTGATGATGATGAAAATATATCTTGTTTCCACACTCGACATATTAGTTTAAAAGCTTGAAAGTATATTGCCTGAATGAAGTGACAAAATCTGCATATAGGCGAAACTTTTGACAAACTATTAACAGTTATGTCATAGCCGTACCATTGCATGAAGGTCAGGAAGGAAGGAAGGAAAGAAAGAAAAGTTTGCAACCTTTGAATTCCCGGTATTCCTTAACATTTCAAGATGGGATCACTTCTGGTGTCCATGTTTTCATGAAGTTAATGGTGGGGCGCTGATCTTTGTTTCCATGCCATTAAGCAGAATCGACAGCTGCTGTGTGGCAAGTATAGTGCGTGGTCTCTTGTTTCATTCCAAGAGAGTTGTAATCATTTGTCAACCTCGGAAACAAGAAGGGCGAATGAACCTGACCGGGGCTGGAATCCGGGACCTCGCCATTCTGAGTCAGACTGAACAATTCCACTCTAAATTATCACCAAGGTCAGAGGATTTGCCAGAAAATCAGCTCATGTGACATGACCGGAAGGTAACACGACATCTGAAATGCCGAAGAATAGTCAACCTCTTTCCTGAGCAATGGACTGGTTTCAAATTCTGGGCATTTAACATATTTCAACTCAGTTTTGGCGAGAAAGCTTATTACAGAGCAATAAATGACGGCTCATGTCGATTAGCCCTTCGAGTCACTGAAAGTTATGGCCTCTAACTCTTGAAACAGATGAGATATTCCGGTGACATTAAAAGGTACCGGTATTAATGTTCACGATTGTATGCAGAGCACTCCTTTCGCCGATAGTGTAATAATCCTCATTGATGATCATGTGCCGTTTTAAGACACAACGAACAGCAATACGAAGCCGCGATAGACCATCTGATCGAGCAGCTTCCCTCATCATTATAAATTAAAAGTATTATTAATAATCTATGCTGTGCGAATTGATTAAATGTTTTCGCAAACTCTTTCTTGCATAGATTGGAATAAGGCACGGAGGAGTGGAATCTTTATTTCTTTTTTGCGACGTTTCTTGACTGGGTGTTTCGGTCTGTACGAAACAGTGAAGCAACAACTTCGGCAAGAGTGGACAACATCTATCGTATTTGCGGACGATATCGTATTGTTTCGAGACGGTTTCAAAGCTGCGATGTAACTG